TAAAATCTAGAAAGGAGAAGTAAAGAAGGAGCTATCCACACTGAACACTAATACATACTGCACAGTCACTGCAGTAACAGTTGTGTGGTTGGTACCGGGACAGACGAACCAAGCAGACCAGGAAGCTCAGAAGAAGAAAGAGGTGTGGTGGGGCTTTGCGGAAGGCAGAGGAAAGGCCAGATTGTTTAGTTGATGGAGTTAAGGGAGCTGGCTCACCACGTATGGAAAATGAATGTGGAACCCTTTATACCATGTGCAAAAGTGGCTTTCCAATGAACTAAGACCCAAATATGAAAGGTGAGCTGCAGAGTTAAAATAAAAAATATCTTGCCTTGGCTGGTGTGGCTCAATGGATTGAGTGCCCGCCTGTGAACCAAAGGGTTGCTGGTTCAAATCCCAGTCAGGGCACACGCCTGGGTTGCAGGCCAGGTCCCCAGTAGGGGAGCATGAGAGGCAACCATACACTGATGTTTCTCTCCATCTATTTCTCCTTCCCTTCCTCTCTCTCTAAAAATAAATAAATAAAATCTTTTAAAAAATGTATCTTGCCAACTAAAGGTAGGGAAAGACTTCCAAAAACTTCAAAAGCTCAAACCATAAAGGGAAAAATGGATGAATTCAATCCCATTGACATTAAGGATTTCTGTTAGACAAAGAGCACTGTGGCCTGTTGAAGACATTCGGCAGAATGGGAGAAGACAATGTCCAGTGTTGGCAGCTGACAAAAGAAGGATGTCTGAAACAGATAATCACCAGAAAAGGAGACCACTGACCGAGCTAAGATGCAAAGCTCAGACACCGGTGCCTGGCAGAGAGCGAGCACATGGTAAGGGTTAGCTCCTGTCACTTCTGACAGAAATGACCCAGCCCAAATGACCCCCAGAGTCCCACATCACTGACTGTGTGCTAGAGGCTAGTGGGCAAGGAGGATGCACTTGACAGGCTGTTTATAGCAGTAGGCATCCTTCATTATGTCCTCTGCAAGGTCCCTGGTCCCCACTGGCCAAGGCTGCTGCCTGCTGTGCTGGCTCCAGGGAAGGGAAGAGAGAGGTGGGCTCCTCAGGGGTTTCTGCTGGACAGGGAGGTGGGCCGGAGCTGTAGGCTGGGGTGCTTGGGCAAGGCCCTCCCTCCCCAAGTCTCTGCCTCAACCATTGCTTATCTGGACATGGTTGGCGGTTTCCAAGAAACTTAGGAATCTCACATGAAGTCTTACTTGGCAGCCTGTCAAGTGTATTCTTGTTGCCCACTAGCCTCTAGCACACAGTCAGTGGTGTGTGTGGCGGGGGGTCATTTGGGCTGGGTCATTTCTGCCAGAAGTGACGGGAGCTAACACTCACTACAGGCTCCCTCTGTGCTGTGCACTGCTTTCTGAGCTTTGTGCAAGTTAACACATTTCGTCTCCACAGTCTTGTGGAGGGACTCTTCCCACTTTAGATTTGGTCCCGGCAGCTGCCTCCCCTTTGGGCTCCCAACACCTGAGCTGTAAGAGGCTGGCACACACGCCCCCGTGGCCTTGAAGAGTTGGAGACACATCCAGGACAGTGTGCACAGCTCAGAAAGGTCCTGGCTCTGGCACTCTCTGGCTCGGGAACCTCAGGCAAGTCAGTTATTCTCCCTGAGCCTCAGTCTCATCTATAAAATGAGCCTAAAATGAGGACAAAATTCTGATGTACACAAAGTACCTGACCTTGACAGAGATTCACTAGATGCTGGCTACTGTCATTGTCGGCGGAACCCTAGACTGAGAAACTCTGCCCAGGGGCCGAAGGAGTCCTGGTGCACTTGTGTGTACTTGCTAGGTATAAGAGCACCCAGGATCCTCAGATAATTGCCAGTCCCAGTAAAGGTAGGAGGGGGTGCTAGGGTGGGGAGGAGAGCAAGAGAAGGGAGTAGGAGGAGTAACAGCAGCCCCTTGGGCCTGCTCCAAGCCAAGAGTCAGCTGTGGACCTTCCAGCCTCCCAGGCCACTTCTGCAAGGCCAGCCCCCCTCGGGTGCTGTGTGAAGAAGGCAGCTACAGAGGGTTGGGGCTGCCTGCTGGAAGAACGGGGGGTGGTGGGCCAGGCCGTGCACATCTCTGCAACAGGCATTTCCCATTCTCCCCTTCACTCTGTTCTCTTTACTCGCCTACAATCAGGCCTCACAAATGAGCCTCCAGACATTACCACGTGTCCACTGAGGAGCAAACTGCTCTTGGCCGAGAGCTACTAGCAGAGCTACTAGAACTTAGGAAACCTGGACTGAGATAAGCAGCAGCCAGAGCCAAGCCTTGGGCCACAAGTGTCGACACAAAGGTCTGGTGTTAGGGCTGTGTCGTTCTCTGGAACAAGGCTGGTCAGCCTAAGTGTGCCCCACCCTCAGGAGTTTCTTAGAGCTGCGTTCCACTGTTAACTTTTGCAAAGTGCCATAGTTCACCCCAACCCTTTGAAGTGGGTAAGGGAAACCAGTCTATTATTACCCTAATTCTACCGGTGAGGAAATTAAGATACACCTAAGTCACCCAGTAAGCTGGTGGCCACACCAGGCTGGAACACCCCCTGACACAGTGGCCAGAGACAGAGACTGACAGGGGACCAGGGCAGAGAGGAGGGCCTTTCGACTCCTGCATCTATTTCTAGAAAGCTGCATCCCTACAACCCGGATCCATTAGTGCCTAACAATCCCCAGAGGTCTCATAACTCTGGTCTCTTTCAGATGAGAACTACGGAGGCTCAGAGAGGACAAGAGACACCTCCCACTGCGCACACACAGGCTTGGAGGGGACCTGGGCACCAGCTTCCTTCCCTCCATGCCAGCTCACATCCAGGCTGGGGTCCAAGGGCTGGTGGTCCTGACAGCCCACCTGACAGTCCCTTAAACAGCCCCTGGCCAATGGACCCTTCTAGGCACTTACCAGATGCCACTCTACATCAACAGGGACCGCCTGGAACTTATAACCCTGTCCCTGTGACACAGGCAGGGAGGCCTGCCTAAGTGAGGGATGTTTTCAGCAGTGAATCGCTTCTGTCAGTACAATTCCTTGCTGTATTACTAGTTATTGGTGATGGCAGTGGTTCACAAGGCTTGTGCATTTACCACACGCCAAGAACAGTTCTGGGGTCATGAAAGCCCCCCTGGCCAGTCACAAGTCTGCCACATCTCCACAGGCAGGAATTCCTATTGGCCTTACTTCCTGGAGGATCAAACCGGGGCTTGAAAGGGTTAGGGGAGTTTTATAGCCATTTCTGTATGGGTGACAGGCTCCCAGCTCAGACCTGGCTGACTCTAAGATGCTGTGCTCTCCCACAACACCAAGACCTCAGAACTTCAGGGGGAACAAGTGGGCAAATATACCAGAAAAGAGAAACGCATTTCAGTCTGAGGTGGCTGTTTCAGCGGGTTGAATAGAACCCCTGCAGTCCTGTGCATACTCTTCACCTGGTGAAGAAATCCCTTCTCCTTAAGAATCACAGAGACCGATTTCAGACTGGCCCAGGCCTGTGAGCATGATGCCCAGTGACACATCCCTGACCACCCTAGGGCCGTCCATCTGTCAAAGCAACCCCCGGTGAGCACAGCTGGCTTGGCTGGCCCAGTGCAGGGAGGTGGGACCCCACGCATACCCCTATCATAGGTAGGGATAGGGTAGGGAATATGGGCTGTGCTAGTGCCCAGCAAGAAGCAGTGTTCCACAGCAGTGTGGGGTGCTCAGCCCCTAGCCTCGCCCCAACTGCCTGCATTTTCCACTAAGTTCCCTGTCACGGATTACCCTGCCAGGGCCAGCAGCCAGCCAAGTGCAGACCTGGCTTGGACAAGTTTCCTCTACAGGCGCAAAGTTTAAGGTACCGCCTCTCAGAACCACCTTGAGCAAGTTCCTTCTACCTGGGCCTCCTGAACTCACCTAGAAAAGGTGTGATGGAGCAGGATGGCTTCTGAGGGCCACACGGCCATGAATTTCAGGTACAGAGTGGGCTCTGGGCTCTGAAGGCAGAATAGAGGTCAAGCATGGGTTCCTGGCCCTGTGCCCCTTCCTGCCCTCACAGCCCTTCACAGGGGCTGGAGCAAGTCCCTATGTGCAAGGAGATGTGGGCAGTTCCGAGGCAGGGCCAGGTTCTTCCTCCCTCACCTCCCCAGGTTTCTGGATTTCAGTCCCCAGAGCTGCACCCTGGCAAGTTCAGCAGAGTGCTGAGGCAGGTGGATACCCATCCTTCTCTTAGAGGACAGCAGGGGAGCACAAGTGACATGAACAGGACCAGCTGGCCCCTTCCCTGCAGTCCAGGGGTATAGGGCTGCAACAGCCTCTCTGGATAGAACTGCGGGAGCACAGGTTACAACCCTGGTGAGTCAAGGTCTCCTTCAGAATGGGTGTGCCCTGCAGGGTCTCCTCCTCCCAACCGGCCCAGAGTTCAGGGACGCACCAAGGGTTGGGAAGCAGCTCCAAGGGCGCCTGCCAGGGGTCTCCGGGAGGCGGCAGTGTCTGATTTAAGAGTAGGTCTGTCTCCACAGTTAATATATCATTGAGACAGAAATGTGGCTTCTGAGGATTTGATTACTAATCCCGTGGACCTGAACCTTGCCTGGGGAGGGGGAAATGGGTGTTGGATGGGGACGAAAGTGATGGCCCCAAACACAAGGCAGAAGCTTTGTATTAACTCGCCGCCAGCAACCTGAGAGGAGGGTCTTCCAGTCATCTTCACTCTGCAATACCTCCGCCGCCCGGCGGCCTGGACCAGCTATGCTCACAGAGAGCGGCTCGGACCCGCGGGCCTGGCGCGACCAGGAATACGGCTTAAGGTGCCACCTGGCATCTCACTCACACCCAGTTTAAGCACAGCGGCCCCGTCCCTTCGGAGGCTACTTGGGCCCGAGCCCTCTCTGACCCCTTAGTTCCAGGCCCAGCCCTCCCGAGCCGGGAGGCAACCTGGGTGGCGGAGCTAGGCGTACCGGGCCAGAGCGCGTGAGGCTCCCTCCCCACAGAACGCAGGCCAAGGCTGAGGGCAGCGGGGGCGGGGACCACAAGTTACCTTCCATGGATATGGGCTCCAGGATGCCGAACTGCTTGAGCACGGCGATGAACAGCAGCACCACCACAGCCATGGCGCACAGTTCCATGCCCTGGATGCCCATGGCTGCCCGCGCTCGCTGCCTCCGAGGCGCCGGGCCGGTGCTGCCCACCCGCGGCTCACATGCCCCCGGCAGGCGGGGCTGCCGGTGTCTGCGGGGCAAGGGCCCCGCGCAGGGCGGCGGCGGCTAGCTGGGCCCTGCCGGGAGGTGGGACGCGGCGTGCCGCGGCAGCGGATCCCAAGCGCAACTTTCCGAGTCAGTTGGCAAACTTTGAGGCACGGTGGCGGCGCGGGCCAGAGGCGCCTCCATGCCCCGCACGGGTGCCGCGCCTCTCGCGCCGTCTCCAGCCCCGCGGGCGAAGGTGCGCAGGGGTCCCAAGTACTCCTGGACGCCCAGCCTCCATCGCATCTCCCCTTGCGCTCATTGGCCTAGGCGTGGCGACCACCCGGGAGGCGTCCCCTAAGGCCCCCTCCCCCCACCCCAGCGCCCTGGAAGGGCGGGGTAGGGGAGGCGGCCCCGCTTGGTGCAGTTCAGCCCGGGACGGACCTGGCGCACAGCCACCGCTTCCCCGCCAGTCCCGAGAGGCCGCTGGGTGGATGGTTTCACCGAATCCGTGCTGGGAGGGGACGGGAAGGAAGAGAGCACGGCATCACTCCCTGCGGAATCGGGGCTTCCCTCTCCTGGCTGGCAGTGCGGAACCTGGCCGCCGCCCCTCCCACCCGGCCGCCTGCGCAGAGTTGGCCTTCGAAGGATCCGGGAAGCCCTCTGGCCCCGGGTGTTTCCCATAATCCAGCCCTCCGCGGGGGATTGAAGTTGGTCCTGATCTCCAAAATTGTTCAGTTCTGGAAACCAGGGTGCGCTCAAGACTTTCAGAGGGCGTGCAGCCTCTGGTACTAGAGTCCGCGAAGCTGAGTTCAAGTTCTGCGTGATGTTAGGGAGTCACGGACTTGCAGCATCCTTCTCCAGCAGGGCCTGGTGCCTGTCTTTCCGGCCGTGGGAAACAGCTAAGTGGATGTCAACCGCTTCGCGCGCGCGAGCAGGGCAAGGGAGTGCTTATTAGTCCGTGGGTCGCCTTTTTCCTGTCCAGGGCATTGAGTAGGGGGGTGGGGGGCGCCCCGGAAAGCAAGGAGAAACGAAGAGGAGAAGAGGGCGTGGCAGGGCAAAGACCCGGATCCTCTGAGTGCCTAAACTCTGGGACTCCGGGGTAGGGGTAGGGGACGCTGGAGCCGCTACTCTCTGCTTCCACCAGTGGGCGCTGCACACCATCTTGGATTTAGGGGGCGTCACGCGCGCGCTGTGGCGGACAAGTTCGGTCCTCCCAGTACCTTAATGGATGGAAACCCAGCCCCGGTCCACGTCCTTGAGTGTGAGCCCATTTTGCACCTGAGACCCGAACAATAGCAAATCTCATCCGTGGAACATCTACTTCCTCCTTTCCTTTCCTTTCCTTTCCTCTCCTCTCCTCTCCTCTCCTCTCCTCTCCTTTCCTTTCCTTTCCTTTCCTTTCCTTTCCTTTCCTTTCCTTTCCTTTCCTTTCCTTTCCTTTCCTTTCCTTTCCCTTTCCCTTTCCCTCCCTCCCCCCCTCCCTCCCTCCCTCCCTCCCTTCCTTCCTTCCTTCCTTCCTTCCTTCCTTCCTTCCTTCCTTCCTTCCTTCCTTCCTTCCTCCCTTCCACAAATCCAGAGCAGGTACTTGCGTCCCAATCCATAGTTCGCATTCCAGGTTGGGTGGGAAACCGCAACTGCGCACTGAGGACCCTCTTGGAACTGGCAGACTGGAGCCAAGTCTTTAGGGTTACTTGTCATCCTCGAGGGCTCCCCTTGTGAGCATTTCTCTTCCCCAATAAGCATGAGGAAAGCGGAACCCAGAGGGCACAGGTGCAACCAGGCCTGTCGGGTTCCAGAGCTGATGCTGCCCCAGGGCACCACACTGCTTCTGTGGAAACTGAAGGGGAGGAAGCTACCCGAGGCCTTTCCTTGGGCTTACACAGTTCAACCTCACTATTCAACACTTGTTAAAAGTCTTATTTGTTGGAGATATTCGAAACACACAGCTTTCAATTCCATTTTTGTGGGATGCAAAGAAGTCTCCACTAATCAAAGGCAGAGCTCTAGGCAGAGAAGCCAAGATGGCAGAGATCAGGCTCTGCTGGACTGGACAAGTTACTAAAGTGTGTGGAAGTCTGTAGAAGTTAAAGGGCCCCCATGGGGTCTATCAGGGGCTCCCGTGTCCTTTAGGGTGTGTTCTGGAGCTGGGTATGTCCAAGGAGCCAGATGTGAGAGAGATGGGAGGACAAGGAAGCAAGCAAACAAAGGAAGCCATCTCAGGGTCCTCCTGAGGCCTTCCCACTCTGGCTCTCCTGCCTCAGTTTCCCCTGGTGCTCCTGCACATTTTCCTCATGAAAGCTTCAGTGACTGTCCATAAACACTGAGTTATAAACAAGGCATCGATCCCCTGGCTCTGCAGCGTAAAATATTAACGATGCCTAAGTAGATAGCAGGGCTTAGAGCAGAACGCTAAGCATCAGCAGCCGGGCCATGGGCCTAATGGATAGAAAGCTGACTCCCTGCTCGCTTGCTAGCTTGGGGTCTGCCAGCTCTGGGGCCAGCCCAGGTCCCCCGAGGCTGGGCTGATGGCTCGCTACACCTGCTCTTCTCTGGACTCAGAGAGGGAAGAAGGCAGACAAGTCCCCAAGTTTCATATGTGCACCCCACACTCAGCCCAGCCACCACGAGCTCCCCTGCCAAGGGCCATTTACCCTGACATGAATTCACCCCTCCCCAACATGTGGCAAAGTGTATGCTGGTGTTGACAGTGCTCCCTGCCAGTTCCCTGCCTTCAAGAGGGGATGGGCTAGGGGGAGGGGCACAGAGAAATCTCTGCAGTTCAGGGTGCTGAGGGCTGCCACAGACGTAGGGAAAGATGAGGGGCCCTGTGGAGGGAACAGCCCGCTGCTTCTCAGGTGATTGAGAAGGCTGGGGGTGAGCCCTCACTCGAAGATCTCAGGATGTCTGGGAGGTCCAGGGAGGCCTCCTAACCTGTCCCGAACTAATTTAGAAAGTTCTTAGAGACCCAGCTATTCTGCGAAAGGGTGGGACACACTGCACACCTAGGCTTGTACCCCACACCCGAGGTCACAGTCTTCCTTTTGTCTACCACATCAGTGATGCCACTCCAGCTCCGTGTCTGGGAAGCCACACCAGACTACACCAGCCCTGCATTAAGCCCCTCCTCCTCTGAACCCTCGCAGCCTCTGCTGCATGGCCGTGCCATGCTGTACTGAGTTTCAGCTATCTGCCCAGACATCTTCCATGTCACCCGTGTTCCTCACATCTAACCACAGCTGCACTGCCAGCTCCTGGAGGCTGGAACCCGGCAGTCTGATTAATGCCCAGTGCATGCCCCAGCCTGCTAGTCCTGGCCGCCTAGCTGACCAAGGACTTTTTGACTCTTGAGGGAGGGATTGGACCAGGCCTGTATTGTTCCAGGGACATTCCCGGAAAACAGCTCAGTAAGTTGTTCCCGGAGTGAAGCCTTCCCTTTTTTCTAGTGCATTCTACTGGGCAGAGAAGGCATTATTCAATTTATTTATCCTTCTCACAGTCCATAAGAAACAGACAAGAACGCTCCAAAGACATGCCTCCTGAGTTCCTACCAATGGACACCCCAAGGTTGCTCAAATGCAGGGCATCTAAAGCTGAATTCTGACTTCCTCCCAAATAAACCCCCTCCAATCTGCCCTCCCGGAAGATCCCTGTCTCACATGTGGGGGCCAAATGCTGGCTCTTGGCCTAGAGCTCACCTGACCCCACTCCAGCCCAGTGTGTCACCAAGCCCTGGCTCTGCGCCTCTTTCTCATCCATCTCGGCCCCACTGCCACCAGCCTGGCTGTGCCATCACCCCTCTCTCCCAGACTGCCTCTCCCACCTCTGCTCTGTCCTCCTCCTCTCGTCCCCTTGGCGGCCACACTGGTCATCCCAAGGGGAATGTCAGACCCTGTCTTTCCCTGTGTAAAAATATCTCCAGTGTCTGTCCAGCTCAACACTGCCTGTGCCTGCCTGCTCAGCATGCCTCTCCTCGATTTGGTAAAAGCAACTCAATATCCTTCTAGAACCCCTGCCAGCCTCAGGCCAGTGATCTTCAACGTTTGGGAATATAACTGCCCACTTAGCATCAATTCTTCTTTTCCCACTCCGCACCCCTCCTCCACTGCTCTGGCGACTGGCTCAGGGCTGGGCCCCAGAAGGGAACTGGGACAATGAAAGACTTCCATGAGACTGGCCCTGGGACAAGGAGGAGAGAGGTTCTCTCTTTCACTGTGGTAGCTAACTGGCCTCCCTGCCACCTTGGGACAGGGAGCCTGATAATGTAGTCACCTCACTGGAAAGTGGAACAAACAGTGGAGAGAGAGTGCTATGTGCCTGGATCCAGCAGTGCCTGATGACACATCTAAACTTATATTTTTCAGTTTTATGAGCCAATAAATACCCCCTATTGTTGCTCAAGCCAGTGTGAGCTGGGTTGCTGTCCTTTGCATTCTCCATTACTCACAAAGCAAGGAATCTAATCCTTACCAAGACCTATGTGAGCAGCTGATATCTACCACATACTTACTAAGCATGAGGCATCTCAACACAACTCATTTCCATTTCTCACAGCTCCAGAGAAGATGGAGACTTGGTAAGAGGAAGAAATTGAAGTACAGAGTGGTTAACTGTTTGCTTAAGGGCACACAGCTGTTAAACCACAGTGTCAGAATTTAAATCCAAAACATCGAGTTTCAGGGCCTATGATTTTAATTCAATGACACCCTACCCTTCTAGACCCACGTGGTTGGGCCTTTCCCATTCTCTCTTGTTCACAAGAACCCAGCCACAGGTGCAGCCACCCGAGTGGGCCCAGGACGCTCGCTCCCAGATCTCAGTGCACACTCTTCCTCGAACCTGCTCTTCTTCCTCCTCCTCACCTCCTCCTCCTCCACCTCTTCGCCCAGCTAATTAATGCCTCCGTGTCCTTTGGGTCTCCGCTGATGCTACCTCTGCAGAGGCGTCGCCCCTGACCTCTTCCCTCCTGTTAGTCTCTACCGTGGCCCCAGCCCTTTCCCTCTGGGCAGGTTCACAATGTGAACTTAGATATTTGTGTGTTAATTTATTTGTTTCTGTTCTTCCACTCGATTGTAAGCTTCCCAAAGGTATGCATATTACCTGCCTTGTATACATATTTACAAAATAATTAATGGGGATGTCTGATGATTCCTTTTCCCCAATTATTCCAGCAGAGGCTGTCCTGGTGTCACCA